CTTGCTAGATTTTTCTTCCTTGATATTAAATTACATGTCATTGTGGAGATTATTTTAGCCAACTTTTGGTGTCGTTTATCAAGAAATACTACTATATAATATGTGTATGTGTGTGTGTTTGTGCAATGAACCATGTTGTTGGTTATAATTATTCATTTCTAAGATTTGTCGTGTGTAGCTAACTACTACCGAAATCTTTACATGCTGGGGAATTATTGAATTCAAATCCAGAACAAGTTGGGAAGTCAAAATCAAACCTGCTAATTTCTTAATCTTTCTTCTTTGCTCTCATTGTATTTTAAAATAATTAACACTATTGCACATAACTCATTAATACAGAAAACCATTGATTGAGTTCTATAAGAAAGAAAATATGTGTGTGTGTGTGTGTGTGTGTGAATTTTGCAATGGTAAAAAATGCAAAACCTACTGTTGGAACGTTATACCACCTATGCCTAAAATTCATTTACTGGTTTGCAGTTAATTGCAATAGAACTAAGGTCTCCATTTCTCATTTCATGTATTTTGTGGTTGATTGTGATGCGTCTGTTGGATCATTCTTGACTCGAAGTCAGTACATGACACCCTGGCATACACCATTGAGAATAAATAAATAAAAAGAATGAGGAACTTTCCAACAAAAGTAGACCATCGAACTTGGGATAAGATGTGTATCAATGTGGTTATAATAATATGAGATGAGCAGGATGTAGAAGTCAACCCACTTGCAGAAGGCATCTCATCATGATTTTGTGTGTAAAATTTCTTTTCCAATTGACAACTAAGAAATTTGTTCTATTTTGTTCAATTTTATGCTTTTAACATAACTTCATTGAGCTTTACAGAACCATTTTGAGACCTTGCTTATCCAAAACCAAATGGAACCTTACTGATCCTGGGGACAAGTTAATAGCCGTAAGTTTAGGTATACTGATTCTATTGTATTATATACATCACTTCATTTCTTGTGAACTTGTTACGTACACAATGTTCCTCACTGCAGTTTTCTGATTTTGTTCACTCTATTATGCATGTGTACATGATTATTTTTTATAAATAAATCTTAAATTTTACAAGAATAATTGTGCATGTTAACAGATTGTAAGAACAACTGCAGGTTGTTTTTATGAGTACCTATGCATTTTGCTTGTTACCAAAAAAACACTAAAATCCTAGCGAATTATATTTTGGAACACGCATTCTAAAACATTGTACATTTTTGTTCCAAAATAGTAAATTTAGCGATTCAAAGCAATCCCAAAGTTTTTTTCCAATATGTTTCCGTAGAAGTAAAAAAATATCACATATAAACCAAACCAAACCAAACCAAGCCTTAAATCCCATCAAATGGAGTCGGCTACATGAATCCTTCTTCTCCACGCGATCTTATCAAAGGCCATTTTATTAGTCAAATTAAGTAGATTCATATCTCTATTTACAACGCTAGTCAATATTAATCTAGGCTTACCCCGTCCCCTAACACTTCTATCTACTGTTACAGCATCGCTTCTCTCCACTATTATCTCTATTGGTCTCCGTTGAATATGACCGAACCATCTCAATCGATTTTCTATCAACTTATCTTCTATCAGTGCTACTCCTATCCATTCTTGAATACACTCATTCCTAATTCTGTCTTGTCTAATCTTACCACACAAATTTTATCTACATGTTATTTCTTGGTTGCTCAACACTCCGTCCCATACAACATTGCTGGTCTAATAGTCGTTCTATAAAACTTACCTTTTAGTCTAGTGGGTATTCGTTTATCGCACAATACCCCAGACGTACTTCTCCACTTACACCATCCTGCCTTAATCCCATGGGCCACATCTATATCAATCGACCCTAAATAACGAAAATGTTCACTCTTAGGTAGTTCTTGGTTCGCAATCTTCACTTCTCCTCTACTTTCATTGTTACTATTACTAAATTTACACTCCATGTACTCTGTCTTAATTCTGCTTATCTGGAATCTTTTAGATTCAAGAGTTTTTCTCTAAATCTCCAACTTTGTGTTAACTTCTTCTCTAGTCTCATCCACTAGCACAATATCGTCTGCAAAAAGTATACACCATGGCACGTCATCCTGAATATTTCTCGTCATCCTGAATATTTCTCGTCAACTCATCCATAACTAAAGCAAAAAGATAAAGACTTAAGGTAGATCCCGTAACCCTACAGTGATAGGAAATTCATTTGTCTCTCCAACTGGATGAGTTGACGAGAAATATCAAATATAATTAACTAAAATTTAAGGTGAGTGAAGTTTGGACCGGACAAAACATCACAAAATGGGTTATTACGCTTATAAAAATGCGTTGTTGCATGATCAATTTGAGGAAAAAACTATATTTTATTGGATACCTAATTAAAAGAAAATTAATCTAGAAGTACCTTCATTTTTATAGTGTTATCTATATCGTACTACTTTTTGGAGCCTGTGGCACACTACGTTTCCGCCCCTGTTCCACGTACTGCAACAATCCACATTCTAGGTAACAAGACTTATATTTTCTTGCATCTTATAGTGTTCCTAAAGGAGAGACTGATTTTGGGTGGTATGACAAGTAGATCATACACATGGTATTCTGAAATGAATTGTTACCCATACTTTCAATACTTTTAAAGGTTTGGGTAGGGACTTCTGGAGGGAAAGGAAAATGCGAGGGGAATGTGAATGAAATATAAGCTAAATTTTGTCTCCATTTCTCCCACATATTCATTTCCCTCTGCAAATACCTACACAAATTCTAAATTCAAACATTATTTCCTTTGTCCTTCTACCAGTACAACTTGTCCCAGTTATTATGAAGGTTGTCTGGATCATGGGGTTATCTTGTTCCTGCATTATAATCTTTGTGAAGCTGATGGATGACTATCCTCCTTGCAATATCTTCTTGAAGAAAGAGGAAGAAGAGAAAAGGTGCGCTTTTTTCCATCCTTTTCTTGTCCATTAATCCTGTTCAATCAGCTATCACTTACTGACACAGAACCCTTTTTTTTTTGGTAAAAGACTTGTCCCATGAATTCATGCTGGCCTTTGAGTATTTATTTAGTAATGTTTTGGGATAAAAAGCACAAACTTTTTTATGATATAGTAGCACAAGCAAAGCAAATACTCCACTTTTGCTTTCCCTATTTTTGTTCAAATTATTGTCATTTTAGTCAGAGCCTGCTAACTTTCCCAACTTTTTTTTTTTTTGCCACTGACTTCTCAAAATTTCTGTTCTATTACTCTGCTTAACATCTCTTTTTTTAACACTTGACTTTTGTAATTCTGTCTTCAGTTATGAACATTTTCAATGTAACCAAACTGTCACGAAAAATTTGAGGAATGAACAATTTGAAATTCTTGACTTGTGGTTTGGATTAAAGTTGACAAATTTACTTTTGGTATTCAACTCAACTCAACTCAAAATGTTTGAACCACAAAACACATTGTTCAATCTATTCTGCTATCTAAAGGCCACAGTGTCACCTGTTAGATGTAGGTGATTTTCGACTCTCTTTTTATTTATTTTTTAAAATTTTATTTTCTTTTTTTTTTAAGCTCTCATTTCAGACCTGTGATGGCCTTCCTCTTTTTTTTTTTATCCGCGTTATGGCCTTCCTCTTGCCATAAATAAATTCATTTGCTTAATATTTCATATGGAAAATAATATTCCTTTACCTAAAAAGAATTCATGCACATTATTGTCATATGGCTCCCCATATTACTGTCATTTTCTTGTCTTTTCTCTTTACATGTTTTGTCGATACCTAGATTCTAGTTTTGAATGACACTTTGTTGTATCAGTGTGCACTTTGCCAGGGATATGGTTTTAGAAGTTCATATAGATGGAAACACAGAAAAGAAGAGAAAGTCCAAGAATACAAAAATTGATCGTAGAATCGGACACAACCCTCTCACGTTAAGTGACTCCTCCCACCTTTTTGTAGGTCCCACACTCATGTGAAAAAGTTTATCCAATTCTGTGATTAGTTTCTGTGCGAGTAAAAGAACGCAGAAAAGAATCATTCATCTGGATATGTTCAGAGGTATGGCCTACAACTCATGGTGATATAGCTAACCACCCAGGGTACACAAGTTAGTGGAATGCATACAATTTACTTCCAATATCTCTATATGAGTACGAAATGGCCCAGTTGGTCCTTTATTTTCTGAGGTCATTCCAATGTAGGGTTACCTTCCTTTCATTTGTGTTAGTGATTGATAGCCACCAAGGGGACCAATTCTCTACAAAAGCCCCCAAGTAACTGAAAAGTTACAAACGCATACAATATACGACGAAAAGTAAACTGAAAAGGAAGTGTGTGGGTTAGATTCAATTTGGTGTGATGTTTTTGGTCTAGATTCAAATTTCTTCTTAGTTTTCAGTAGTCCCCAAATTAAATAAATGGAAAAAAAGTACACTCTTTGAATGTGAATGAACTCTACATATCTGTGTTCATGTCAGTACTGGTTTAGTTCTGTTTAGCAATGTGATCTTCATTTAAGATTGTGGGTGAAGTTAACAAATACCTCAAAAAGCAGTATGAGGTGTGCTATTATTAGCTTATGTAGAATAGTTTGAAAATGATTGTGAACAACATCTATGTTTGTGAAGTAAAGTGAATAAAAATAAATATTAGATGAATCACATTCTCTGAAACATGTTTCAAAGGACGCCTTGGCTTAAATTAACTTTTCAAATTTTACCTGTCATTGGCGCGGCATGTAAAACATAGGGTCAACCCTTGCAATAATTTTCCGGTTATTTTTCTTAGTATTTGAATTTGAGCATTTTTTTTTATTAAATTTTATTTTCTTTCTTTTGACCTGCCAATAAAGGGTGTTTAATAGGATTATTTCACTATGCTACTATCTTCTTACTCTTTTATTCTATCACATTTATCTTTGATTTTAGAGAGAAAAAAAAAAGGTTTTCAAGCTGCTAAGACAGAAATAAGAGACATTTGGACTGAGCTTTTCAAAGTTTATAGATTTCCTAATTGAT